CAGATAGATAGTACTTAATTTTTATTTTAAAAGGTTTTCATTAATTATTTTTCTCTCAGAAATCTACTTATGGGTTCTAATTACAATCCTTCCGAGTAAAATATTTAAAAAATTTAAGTGCAATCACTGTATTCTTTCTGATCCTATGTATGTTTTATGATTTTGTGCTTTCTTAAATACTGACCTACCTTTATTTAATTCTTACATACTTATTGTCTCCTCTGTGCTAGGTGCTCTTCCAGGTTTGGGATGTAGTGCTGAATAAATAACAAAGATAAGGCCCTAGTGGGAGACACAAATAAATAGATATAGAAAATATTAGTAGGTGCTATTTACTATGGAAAATTAAAGAATGAATAATGTAATAGACGTTGGAGTGAGAGATCAGAGAACATTCCTCTGAGGGGTAACAATTTAAACTAAGACAGTGAAAGATGTTAGCCATATGAATATAAGGGTGGGGTGTTCTAAGTAAGGCAGAGTTTCTTGGCCTCCTGAATGAGCTGAGAAAAGTCCCATGGCTAGAACAAAGTGAATGGTGATAGCTGTAAGACATAGGGTAGAAGAGAGGCAGCTGGGGCCAGGTCACAGGGCACTAGGTAGACTGTGGTAAGGTCCTTGTAGCCTTTGGAAGACTCTAAACAAAGAGTGATATGATAAATCAAATTTATATTAATATAATCAAGACAGGACCATAAAGTAGTCAATACTGAGAACTTTTAACTCAAGTATAGGTAAAAGATTGCATTTTCTGCTGAGTTAAACCAAATATCCCAGTTTTTCTTGGAAAAGTACTAAACCTCAGAGATAAGAAATTTGACCAGATTCTGTTGCTTCATGCGGTTACTTACGCACATGCAGGCAAAACATTCATGCACATAAAATAAAAATTATAAATACAAATTTTAAGTTAAATTCAAAATATGGTAGTTCAATTCATACTCAATTACATGACTTATGGGACAAAAGCTCTTAAAAACTGAATAGTAATACTGAAAATCTTTTAAATCCTTATCATGTGCCAAGATTGCTCTAAACATTTTATATGTTTTAAAATGTTAAATTCTCCCAACTGTTCTATAAGGTAAGTACTATTATTTTCATTTTAGTTATGAGAAAGTCATTACAAAAAGAGGCTTTAAAATTTGTTCAAGTTTACACAGTTAATGGTGGAATTGGAACTGGGCCAGGAGAGAGCATCAGATCCCTTGGAACTGGAGTTAATGGATGGTTGTTAGCTGCCATGTGGGTGCTGAGAACTGAACCCGGGTTCAGGTTCTCTGCAAAAGCAGCCAGTGCTCTTAACCACTGAGTCATCTTTTATCCCTAATTTAACATGAAGCCGAGAGAGAGAGAGAGAGAGAGAGAGAGAGAGAGAGAGATGAAGTTATCAGAAAAAGGTGATGGGGAGATATGGGAGATGTTAGAGGGGAGGGGTGGGTGTGGATTTGATCAAAACACCTTATATACATGTATGAAATTCTCACTAAAGATTTTAAAAGAAAAAAAATTTAAAACTGATCCTCAATTAAGTTCTTGAAAAATTTTTAAGTATGCTTGAAAAAACTTGAGTATATGAAACTTTTTTAACTATAAATCTATAAAACTGAAATACAGATCAGTCTTTTCTGACAAAAACTTAGCATTTAAATGGATATGTTATACATATAATCATATACCAGATTTGAAGACATAAATGAATGTTTCGTTAATGATTTTTATAATGATTACTTAAAATATTTATTTATTTATTTATTTATTTATTTATTTATTTATTGGTCTTTTTGAGACAGGGTCTCCCTGAAGCCCCAGCTGTCCTGGAACTCACTATGTATTTTTATTTGTATGTGTATGTGTGTTCTGGCATGAGTTTATGTGTACCGTGTGCATGCAGGAGCCCACAGAGGCTAGAAGAAAGCTTGGAATCCATTGGAATTAGAGTTACAGTTATTTGTAAGTGCTGGGAACCAAATCTGGATCCCGTGCAAGAATAGTAAGTGCTCTTAACCATTGAGCCATCGCTTTAGCCCTCTGTTTTCTCTTTAATGTCATATTCAAGAATCACTGACAAGTCCAATGTAGTAAAGACTTTCCCTTGTGGTTTCCTCCTAAGAATTTTATAGTTTTTTTTTTTAATGTGTATGAGTGTATTGCTTGCATGTGTGCAATTGTAAATGCCCATGGAAATCAGAAGAGGACGTTGGATCCCCTGGAACTGGAGTTATGTATGTATGGTTGTTAGCTGCCATGTGGGTGCTGAAAATTGAACCTGGGTCCTCTGCAAGAGCAGTCAGTGCTCTTATCTGAGCCATCTCTCCAGCACCGGAATTCTATAGTTTTAGCTCTTATGTTTAGTTCTGATACATTCTGACTAATTGTGTGTGTGTGTGTGTGTGTGTGTGTGTGTGATATAAAGCATAGATTGAGTTTCATTCCTTTGCATGTGGATATCCAGTTTCCCCAGCACCTTCCCTAATGTCCTTTTCCCATTCATGGTTTTGACACCTTTGTCAAAACTCAGTTGAACATGGAAGGGTGTATTTTTGACCTTCTATCCCATGTATCCATATACTTGACTTTATGATATACACTGCTTTGATGACTATAGCTTTGTGCTAAGTTTTGAAATCAGAAAGCATAAGTTTTCCATGTACAGGGGCTGGAGAGATGGCTCAGTGGTTAAGAACACTGGCTGTTCTTGCAAAAGACCTGAGTTCGAATCCCAGCACCCATATGGCAGCTAACAACTGTCCGAAACTCCAGTTCCAGGGGATCCGATGGCCTCTTCTGTCCTCCGTGGGCATTGCACAACACAGGTGCACTTACCTATATGCAGGCAATACATGCATACACAAATAAAAAATAATAAATAAAATATTTTTTTAAAAAGAATCCTGGGGCTGGAAAGATGGCTCAGCGGTTAAGAGCACTGACTGCTCTTGCAGAGGACCTGAGTTCGATTCCCAGTGTCCACATGGCAGCTATGAACCATCCTTAACTCCAGTTCCAGAGGAGTCTGAAGCCTTCTTCTGACCTCCGTGGCATTGCATGACACTGGTGCACTCACATACATGCAGGCAATACACTCATACATATTAAAAAAATAATAATCCGTGTACATTAAAATATTTTTATTTGAGAATTTCATATATTGATGCAATGTATTTTTATCATATTCACTCCCTGCCCTGCCCTTCCACCATGTACATGTTTGTTTGGTTTTTTTTTTTCCTATGTATCTGTCTGTGTGTCTGTCCATGCATATGTGTGTGAAAGCCAGAGGTAGACATTGGAAGTCTTCCTCATTCACACTCCATCATTTTGTTTTGTTTTGTTTTGTTTTGTTTCATTTCGTTTTGTTTCATTTTGTTTTGTTGAGACTGGGTCTTCTTGTAGCCCCAGCTGGCCTGGAACTTGAAACGTAGACCAGGCTGGCCTCAATCTCAGATCTCTCTGCCTCTGCCTTCTGAGTGCTGGCATTAAAGACATACACCATCATGCCAGCCTCCATCTTATTTTTTGAGACAGGCTTTCTCACTAAACCTGCAGTTCACTACCTGGGCTAAACTTGCTGGCCAGCAAGCCCCAGAGGTCCTGTAGACTCTGCCTTGCAGCACTGGGATTATAGGCACATGCCACTACACCCAGCTTTTACATGTGGGTGCTGGGGATTTAACTCAGACCTTCATGCTTGCATGGCAAATACGTTTACCAACTGAGCCATTTCCCCAGCCCCTCCATATACATTTTAAGACCTTTTTTTTCTTATCTGTACAAAAGGAAAAAAGAATCATTGGGTTTTGATAGAGATTATATTGAATCTATAGATTGCTTTGGATAGTATGCTTAATCCTAACAATATTAGTTTTGCAATTCATGAACAGAAGTTGCCTTTTTATTTACTTATGTCTTAAATGTATTTTATCAGTGTTTGATCATTTTAAATTTTATTTTATGTGTATGAGTGTTATACCTGCATATATATAAGTGTACCCGTGTTGTGCAGTGCCTGCGGAGGTCAGAAGAGGGTGTCGGATATCCTCGAACTGGAGTTACAAATAGTTGTTAGCCACCTTGTGGGTCCTAGGAACTGAACCTGGGTCCTCTACAAGAGCAGCCAATGCTCTTATCCTCTGGGCCATCTCTCCAGCCCCTCAAATGCTTTCTTAACATCAATTGAAATACCAAGTTTTTGCTTTTTTCTTCCCACTTTATTCTGTTTAGGACATATATTACACTGATTTGTTTTTACATGGTGAACAATCCTTGCATCCTGGAAATAAATCCTGTTTGGATCTTGTATATAATAATCCTTATACTATGTTGCTGAATTTGGTTCTCTAGTGTTTTGTTGATTTTTTTGGCATTAATAGCCATATGGGTTGCTGCCCATTTTTGAATTAAAATATTGGAACATAGCCATGTCCATTAATTTCTGTACCGGCTGTGACTACTTTTCACACCAATAGAAAAGTAGAAGAGTTTCAACAGATAGCAAATGACCCACCAAACTGAAAATATTTACTGTCTGGCATTTTGTAGGAAAGGTTTGCCAACATCTGACCTCGCTCTGCTTTGCCCAAGAACTCTTATGGTTCTCATTTGGATTTCTGTAGAGATGAACCATTAAGTTCAATAGTCCTGGTCATATACCACTGAATATTTTAGGATACCTGGCAGTTTTATTTGTACAATAAATAAATTGGTATCCTAGCTTTTCCTTCATTGTTTAATAACCTATGGATCTGCCCATAAGAGTCTGTTTCTGTTTTTAGCAAAATTGGTATTTGGAACCCATGGGGCTGAGGGAAGAACTCTGGAACCTGGAAGCCTCACCAGGTTGCTGCTCTTGGGAAAGTCTGTCTGGGTGTCCAGCCTGATGATGACATCATCTGACTGAAAACCTAATTTTACCACATGTCTCCTTTGATCGACTGTTGTTCACATTCCCTTTTTTTTGCTTGTTTGGTTTTTTGGTTTTTTGTTTTTTGTTTTGTTTTGCTTCCAGATTTCTTCAACTTGCTAAGGAAGAGTGATTTCCTGTTTGGTGTAGCTGATTTGCTATGCAAAACCAGATCCTTGAAAAGGTCAGACTCTGTATTTGTACATAATATGAATATAAAGTTTCCTCTGTTTAGCTGTGTATGAATGTATATGTCACAAAAAGCAATTAGAATAAATTAAAAAATCATCCTTTCCAACTTATTCTGCAGCTTTAACAAATCCTTTGTGCCAACTATATAGCTCTTTATAATTTTGCAAATCACTTCCCATATAATTATCTCATGTAATCTTCACAATAACTTCATAAAGTAAATAGTATTTGTTAACCCTATGTTATGGCAGCAATAGTGGGTTAAGAGACTTTCTCAGAATCTTATAACTCTAACTGAAAGGCTTAGTCCCAAATATTTTTATCTCTATATTTCTTACTATTCTCACTACATCACAAATCATGGTCAACATTAGAATTTAGTAGTATTAAGTTTGCCAACTTTATAGGCATTGGAAAACACACATATAAAAGTCTATATAAAAGTGATAGAGCTCCTTCATAAATGTAAAATATCATTAAAAAATAAGATACTGATGTCAACTGTCTAACCTTGTCTTTGGCATGATAATGAAATCCTCCATATATACTATACCTTTTCTTAGTATTTGTTACAAATTAATCTTGGTATTTTAAAAATAAACTTCATTTCCTAATAAAAATTCTATTTATACTTAGATCTTCAGGATTATATATACTACGTAAAGCAAAGTAGGCCCATGTTGTCCACTAAAGGAATACTTGCTGAGCTATGCTGTAGTAGGTAAAGGGTAAATAATAGATCTAGGCCCTGCTGCTTCTGCCCCCGAGATTCACAATGTGATAGGACTTTAAAGGACCTAAGATAAAGTATGTAAAGTACCAGTAAGTGATGGATGAATAGGCAAAAAGCAAAGATGCTGCTCTGCCTCTGCTGCTACAGCTCCCTGGTGCTCTTGTTCCTGCTGCTGCTATGTTTTCTGCCCCTGTGTTACACTTCAGTAAGCCTTCTAAGAGTACTGTGTTTTTACATATGTAACACACACACACATAGACACATGCACACACAGATGCTTCTCAACATCTCAATAAACTGATTGCAAGTTAAAAATATCCTTAGTCAAAATGCATTTAAATATACCTGTCCTACCAAACATATACCTTAGCCTACCCTATTTCAAATAGGCATAGAACACTTACATTTTAACCCACAGTTGTACAAAGTCCAAAGATTGCATTGGATATCTTTTGTACTGTTGTAAATATAACAATCTTAAGTCAGACCATAGTAAATATCAGATATCTGTAATCATGTATGTACTGTCCATGCAGCAAAATCTCAGATGGTATAGTGTTATTTGTAGTGTTAAATCTAGGACTTAGATCTGGAATCTCAGAATTGGAAAGGACTTTAAAGGCTACCAGTCCAGTCTCCCTCTTCCTTCTAATGATTTAGTATCCTCAATATTAAATATTTACTTCTGCTTCTGTACCCTCTGTAATTGCAATTCATACCTTTCCTACACAAGGAGTTTATTCCATTTTTGGATACCTTTGACTGCCAGAAATTTCTAAATAACATGCTCACACCTACCTACTTATAACTTTTACTCTCTAATTGGTGATCTTTCCCTTGGAGTAATGTTGATTAAGAAGAGCAAACCTCATCACTCCTCTACATAAAAAGCCTCCAGATAGTTATAAACAAGATCATGTGTTTCCCGTAAGATTTTTCTTTCCTGACCCTCCCTTAGACTTTTACTCTTCTTGTTGCTTTCCCTTTTCTTCATTGTATGTTTTTGTTGAATTTTTGAGCATTTCATATGTCTTAATCATATTTAGACCCCCTCCCCCATCCACATGTCCTTTAGCTCCCCCTAGCACCAGATTTTATGCAGTTTGTCATATATGTTAAGGCCTATCAACTCGTTTGTATACCCAGATGTCCCTTGGTGTAAGTTCATCCACTGGAGTCTAGTAAGCCTATCTAGAATCACTCCCTTAAGGAAGATCAATTCTCCCTCATCCAATAGTAATCAGTTGCCAATAGTTCCTCAGCTAAGATTGGAACTTCCTGCCCATTTCGTCAGTTCTATGCTGGGTTTTTGTCTGGGTTAAATTTGCATGGGTCGTGTGCATGCTGTCACCATTGCTGTAAGTTCAAATGAGCAAGTTCCCAGAGGCCTGGAAGACTCTGTTTCCTTAAAATCATGCACCAACCCTGGCTCTTACAAGCTTTCCACCATCTCTTCCACAATGGTCCCTGAGCCATGGGTAGACGAGGTTTAATACAGGAGTCCTATCCAGGGACATGCACTCTGTAGTCTCTTATTCTCTGCACTTCCACCAGTTGTGACCGTCTATGTGCATCACACTCTGTTGCATGAGAATTCACTGGTGAGAGGTGAAAGATGCATTAGTATTTTCTCTACCCCCATCTGTTATGTTCCTTGAGCCTTATTGTTGATGTGTCACTTAGGGTTGGGCATCTCTCAGACACTTATTCTGTGTGTGTGACCAGTTGTGGAACTCTGTTGAAATAAGATTGTGTGCCTATATCTCATTCAGAGAATCAGATCTAGAATCAGATCTAGAGAATAAGATACTAACCAGGGTGGTGGTGGTAGTTATGATGATTATGATGATGATAATGATGGTGGTGGTAATGCATTATTTCATGGTATTAGGTTTCTGTATGCCTTCCTGAAAGTTTGATATGGCAATATTAGACCCACTAAACTTCTCTGTTCAAGAAGTATAAGCTAGAAATACTCTAAAATAGATTCTCCTTTGCTGTGGCTTACACTTATGTAAGCCTTTAGAAAGATTAGACATTATGTGTAGTTGAAATCTCTTCAGAACCACTGGAAAAACAAAAGGGATTATGGTCCCTCAGTATTATTCATTAGCTACTCATTGCTAGCTGCCTTCCTTGTTGAAGAAAAGATTGATGTTCTCTGGGATTCCTTTCTTTGTATGTCACAGAAAGATGTATAATTGCTACAAAGCAAGTAGGAGAGGGACAACTGCCAAGGCAAGGTGTTTCCTCTTGCTTGTTCACATCTGCTATGTAGAGGAAACAGGGTTTATTGCTTTCTTTGAAAAAGAATCGTTGGGTTTCCTGTCTCTCCCCCTTCTTCTGGCACACCATCCCAGAGGAATATTACATCGCATCATGCCTACCTCCAAATGAAGTAAATGTAAATGAAGAGGCACGGAAGGCAGAAAACCAGCTGAGAGGTTCTAGGAATACTTGCTAATGAAAATGGCTGGTGAGTGGTGCATCCCAGTTCAGTCACTTGTCTCCTGCCTCCCTGTAGCTTATCCTCCATGACCCCAGTGAGTAGGTGTTCTATTTTCAGCTCTTATATTTTGAGCTCTGTACATACTGCTGTGAGATTGTGTTTTATATGAAACTGAAGGAGCTTTGACTTTTCAAAATGGGACTTCAAAATTATACTGGATGTGTCTTTATTGTTTGTTTCATTTTCTTGGGAACATTCTAACCTTTCCTATTATCTTAACCCCTTCCTTCTTCACCACACCACATTTGTATGTACCTATTATTTCTTTTATGTTTTCAAGCTCTATGAATATTTAAAGCATGGTACTTATGAGCATCCTACATTTAATCTAACTTTACCCTTTAAAATCCTACAGTATGCTTGATCCTATTCAATGTCCAGATTAAAGTAATAAGCATTAGTGCTTCTGCTTTTATTGTAGCAAAATGCCCAAATTTATGTGTTTATAGTTTTTTAACATGGGCTATAGGTTAGAAGCATTTGTAGGGTTTCTTTCTGTCATTTTTGGAGAGGGGACAGCACAGGGATGAAATAAACATGGTTTGGGGGGTACGGAGATGGCTCAAGATTTAAAAGTGCTTGCTGCCAGGCATGGTGGCACAGGCCTGTAGTCCCAGCACTTGGGAGGCAGAGGCAGGCGGATCTCTGTGAGTTCAAGGCCTACCTGGTCTACATAGTAAGTTCCAGGCCAGCTGGGGCTACAGGGAGACCCTGTCTAAAAAAAAAAAAAAAAAAAAAAAAAAAAAAAGTGCTTGCTGCTCTTGCAGGGGACCTGATTTCAGTTCCCAGCACCCACATTGAGTGATTCACAACTGTATATAAGTGGAGCTCCAAGAGATCTGATGTTCTGGCCACCGTAGTCCTCTGCACTCACATGCACAGACACACATAGTACACATAATTAAAAATTAAATAAAAACAAAAGGCTTAAATGTCTCCTGAAAATAAGGAGATTTAGAAATACAAAAATGAAAAACAGTTTAAAAAAGAATATGGTTTAGATTTAAATTCTGATTTTTCTAATGCTTAAAATCTTCTAGAAAGTTAATTGACCTTTCTGAGTATCATTTCCTTTAATAGCAAAAAGAGACAATAATATCCTGCTACATGGTGAATATTTAACAAGATGGTATCATTGAAATACTTAGACTGCTACCTGACACATGGTAGACACTTTAATGATCATTATGTAAGATTAAGATTTAATAGTAATAGTTGTCATAATTTACAACTGATTTTATAATATAATATGCTGAATTCTTTCAAGATTTCCTTGTTTCAGAAGAGGCCGGAATGAAGTTTGATTACATTTTGAGAGAATGTTTCCATAGCCTTGTCAATATTTTTACCACATATCTTTCTTTTAAAAATTTCCAGGAGTACATACAAGTGTAGTGATGTGTAACTATGATCCTAGCACTCAGGAACCTGAAACAAGTGGACTGGACATTCAAGGCCAGCCTGAGCTACTTAGCAAGTTTGAGGCTAGTCTTGGCCATATAGTGAAACCTGTCTGAAAAAAATCAAAGCAAAAAAGAACTTCTAAAAATATCAAAATCTTATATTCTCGGTATCTGCAATATCCAGTCCAGTAGCCACTAGCCCCCACCCTTGTGACCTCAATTTACAGTAGTAACTACCTCCTATAAGCCCTATCTCCAAATTTCATAGGTATGGGTTGGTGGGCATAGTTTAGTTCATTACTCATATTAATGGATTTTTGTGATTTGGGGATTTTGTGTCTTTTTCTTGTTAGTTGGAAACTATGATTTTATTCAGTATTTGCATGGTACCAAATATAGCAAATCTCTTTATTTCCATGAATATAAGGGCTTAAGTTACACCTGTGGTATTTGATAGAAAGTATATTCGAACTCTGAGATATTCTAGTAGCAAAAATATGTCTGGAAATGTTTTATTTTCCTTATGATGCAGCCCAATGTTAATACTTAAAGGTCTCAGTACAGGATACTAACTGTCCTCTCCACTTCCCTCCTTTACAGATGGAGAAATTAATATGCAGAGAAACTGACTTGGCAGAGGTCAGATCAAGGTATTGGTGGATCCAGGGATAAAGCCCAAGCCCCTTCGGACTCCTTGGCTGGTTTTTAGTCCATTGACTATGCAGCCTAGTGGTAAGTACTCATTTATGCCATCCTAGCAGTAAGTGGGTAAGGAGACCTAACAAAGACTGAAATGAAGTAATTCTTTGTTACCCCCTCATTACCCTTTTCCTTTCCTTATTTTTTAGAAGATTGTTTTAAATTATGTGCCCAGTGTGTGGTTTTGTACACATGAGTGCAAGGTGCCCAGGGAGGCAAGAAGAGGGTGTCAGATCCCCTGGAACTGGAGTTACAGGCAGTTGTGAGCTGCCCAATGTGAGTACTGGGAATCAAACTCAGGTCTTCTGCAAGAGCAGTAATTCTCTTAACCACTGAGCCATCTATACAGCCCCTCCTTTTTCTTTATAACTGTAATGTTATTTTTGTTATTAACATGAATAGTCCAACTTAGGAAAGGAGATTGGACGTTTTGCTTTATAAATACTTAAAATCATTTCTCTGTTTGACCACATTAGAGATTATTATTAGGAATGGAAAAAAAAGAAAAACCTACAATCTAATGAATTTACTCACCATGCTAGGAGTCTTGCTAAGCTTTTTATATCATTGTACTGAAGTATCATTAAAATGTATAGCCATTTCTGAAGGTCGTGCATTCTTGACATTTTTATAATGACTTTTAAATAATATCAATTGAATTTATTAGAAACATAAAAACTTTAGAGTTTAGTTTAAATCAAGTTTGATTTTTTTTGGACACTAAGAACCATGTAAATAGTTAAAGAGAAAATATCTTTATGTTCAGGTTTAGTTTTCTAGCTTATTTTGTCTTATTCTTTTTTTAATCCCTTACTCAGGATTTACTGAGTGGGATGACTTGTCCTGTATAACATTAAATCAGGCTTGTTCTTTATGTTGACTCTAAAATCACAACATTCTCCCAAAAGCCTGTTTTACCTCTATGTCCGGAACAGGATTTTTTTCCCTTAGCTCCTTGGAAGTTGAACCAACTACATAAAAAACAAGTAATAGGCCTTCATGTCAGTGTATTCTCTCTGCCGTCTCTCACCTCTGCTTTTCTCTGCCCACTGGCAGCTTCTTACTGTACTGTAAATCTGCTTTCTCCATTACAGTGGAAACTATGGCCACTGATATTGAGCACTTCTTACTTGTCTTACCATGCCTCACACATAGGCCTTATGCCCTGGCTACCCTGAAACACAACTGTCCATCATGGCAATCTCAAACCAGTGCAATCACATAATTTAAAATTTTCCAGTAAGTAATTTCAAAGATTAGAAACAAGGAAAATTAATTTAATAATATACTTAATTTTTATATCTAAAAGAGTATTTTGACTTGTAACCAATATAAAAATATACAATAAAATGTCTTCAAAATCTTCTGCTTAACACATCTTAATTCTGATCCCAAATTTTATCAGAAATATTTGATCCATATTTAGATTTAATGTAGTTTCACATATCCAGCTTTGCTCCCATATACTTAAAATTTTCTCAGTATCTGCAGTCACTTTAAAAATTTTAAATTAATAAAAAGTACACAAAATTAGGCCGGGCGTGATGGCACACTCCTTTAATCCCAGCACTGGGTATGGGGTAGCAGTGTGCAGAGGCCAACCTGGTCTCCATGGTGAATCCAGGACAGCTGGGGCTACAGGGAGACCCTGTCTCAAAAAGACCAAAAAAAAAAAAACAACAAAAAAAACACAAAATTAAATCTTATTCAGTATAGCAGCCACATTGCAGTGCTCCATAACACCTTGTGCTTGAGTTTCTCAGTATAGTAGCTACCATCTCATATTGAGAAACTCAAGTACAGTGCTTCATTTCTTCCCTTTGATTTAAAAAATATGTTATTAAATCTTTGAGACCTTTATACAATATACTTTGATCATAGTCCCTCCCCAAACTCCTCCTACATCCAGTCTCACCTCCCTACCCACACTGCTTCCTGTTCTTTTTTTTTCTCCCCATCAAGTCCAATTTGTGTTGCTCAAATACTCATTTACTTTTCTTTTTTGTTTGTTTTTGAATCTTGAACTTTATTTCTTGGAAATAGACAATTTTTACTGAGGACAGTTTAAATAAATATTTGCTTGGTGCTTAAAGCAGTTGGAAGTCATGCTGTAAACTTGATCTTTTGTAGCAACATTTGTAAGCTGTCTCATAAACTCACTGTTTCTCAGCTGAGTAGTAACCCTTTCTGTTTGTTCTAAGACATGAACTACTTAAACTAATAGTTATATCAACAATACCTTTAGTAATTGAAGAATTTTTTCTGTGGTGTTTTATTTTTCTAACATTTGTTTGCTTCAGGCCCACTTGTTTCTTTTTTTATTTTTAATCTTTTATTTATACATGAATATTGTCTTTTCCATCCCTCCCAGTCTCCCTACTTCCTCCCATATCTCCCTATTCCCTCTCAATTTCTTGACCTTTGATTACATATACATCCACACATATATAGATATAATTCACTAAATCCATTTAGTGGTACTCATATGTACCTGTGTTTAGGGCTAAAACTGTTCTCCCTCCCTCAGCATTGACTGAATGCCTGTACCTCTTCATCTTGAAGTAGGACCCCATGACATTTCGCCCACCCACCTTGGCATGTCAACTGGTTTTGTCATTATGCAGATCTCATTAGACCACACTGTGGAGATTTCATTAGTGCAGCTCCCCTGTCATGTCTAGAATGCGTTAACTAACAGAAGGTGTCTTGTTCTGCTCTTACATTCTTTCCACCCCTCTTCTGTGATTTTTTTTCTGAGCCTTAGAGGTAGAGTTTGCATTCTAGTTGTGTCACTTAGGGCTGGGCACCTCACAGTCACTTATTCTCTGCCTTTCACCAGTTGTGAAACTTTGTGATAGTCTCCATCTGTTGCAAAAAGAAGTTTCTTTGATGGGTGGTGAAAGATATACTTGTCTGTGAATATAAAGATACAGATTTAGAATGTAGTAAGAAATTACTTTGGTGTAGGAAAGTGACAATAGTAGGCTCTTCTCTAGGGTCTATGGACCTCTCCAGCCATGTGTACTTGGCTATGTTTATAGTACCATGCATGATTTCCCTCTCATTGAGCAGGCCTCAAGTCCAATTAGACAGCTATTGATTGCCCCAAAGAAAAAAGTGCCACTACTTTACCAATAGAGATAGGCTGGGCTGGTCATTGTTGTGTTTCATAGGCTTTACAGCTGGGTAGGATCATTGATTGGTTTCCTTCCTTGGCAGCTTGCATAGTATCTTCTGATACCATGAGGCTTTCAGGTCAGTTCCAGCTCAATTGCTCTAAGCCCTGTATCCAAAATATGTTGTCTTCAGCAATAGAGTCTTACTTTCAAGTACCCAAATAGTCAGGTATGGAACCTGCCCTGGACTGTGAGTGAGCTACCAGGGTCATACGCTTAAAGAAAACTGATTCTTCTCTCCTAGCAGCTATCAAATGCCTATAGCTCTTCTGCTGGGGGTGGAACTGTGTGCCCACCTCCCAGATCTATGCTGGGAATTTTGCCTGGCTTGAGCATGAAAAGGTCTTATGCATGCTGTCACAGTTGCTGTGAGTTCATATGTGAAACTACCCTGCTGTCTGGAAAACAATGTTTCCTTGTAGTTATCCACCACCTCTGAATCTTAAAAATCTTTCTGCTTCCTCTTCTGTGAAGATCCCTGAGCCTTGAGGAGAGGGATGTAAAATAGATGTTCCATTTAGGGCTGAGAGCTTCAAAGCCTCTGATGCTTTGTATATTGTGGGCTCTCTTAATTGCCTTCTACTGCAAGAAGCTTCTGATGAGGGTTGAGAGGTGCACTAGTCTATGGGTATAACGATAAGTCAGTAGGAGTCATTTATTAGAATATTAGTAACAGTTTCTCCCCTACGGCCACAAGTCCTTGACACCAATAATGATAAATGGTGCCAAGTACAGGTTCCAGCTCATGTATCAGGACTTAAATCCAATCAGAGTATGACTGGCTACTCCTATAATCTTCATGCTCCTTCTGTGCTAGTAAACATACCTTGCCAGACCATTCATTACTATACCTCACAGAGTTCCCAGCTGGGTAAGATTGATGATTTCTTTTCTCCTCTAGTAGCATGCATTGCAGCTTCCAGCACTATAAAAGCTAGTCAGTAGTGATAAAGTTTCCAGGTCAGTACCCTCTTGATATTCTCCATGTTTTATGACTCAAGTATGTGTTGTCTTCAGCAATAAGGCCTTCCCATCAAATTCTGAAGGGTAACCAAGAGCAGTAGTAATACCCTGTAATGTTGGGGGAGGCTATGGGATCCCACTGGCCAGTAGCTCAAAGAGAAGTAATCCTTTCCTGATACTGAGGTTTTTATTTGCTGAGATGACATATCTAATTGGGGTATTGTCCCTCCATTATAGGGTAGCTCTAAACTATTTTTTCATGTGTATATATTTGAGAGTTTTTATAGTAGTATGTTTCCATATGTTTTTTTAAAGGCCTTTAGTGTTAGTTGTCCCTCCCCACATTCCCTCCTCTATCCTATCTACCTATCCCTCACCCCATTTATTCTTCTTGTTCCATTATTCCCCTTTCCCCTTTATATCACTGTGTTCTATCTCCCATCACTGCTGATAGGAGTACAGACTGGTGTAGCCACCATGCAGATCAGTGTGGAGGTTCCACCAAAACTAGAAATAGACCTACTACAAGATCCCTCTGTACCACTTTTAGGCATATATCCAAAGAACTCTACTAAAGATGCATTTGCTCCTTCATGTTCATTGCTGTTCTCTTCACAATAGCCAGGATAGTACCTGATGTGATATATGTGAAATGCCTTGCTCTAGCTAAGTACTTGGTAATAGTAGATAGTAGTTGAATCTGAAGTGAAGTTAGCATACAGACTTCTAAGCCTTCCTTACTTGGATATCTCAGGAATGTGATTACATTTTTTAAAGATGCATTTGCTCCTTCATGTTCATTGCTGTTCTCTTCACAATAGCCAGGATAGTACCTGATGTGATATATGTGAAATGCCTTGCTCTAGCTAAGTACTTGGTAATAGTAGATAGTAG